ATTTGATTTGCCTATGAAGAGATGGGTTATGGGATGAAGAGGTTATACTGGATAAATGAAAGGAGGTGAAGAGATTATGGAATTGTTTATATTTGTCATTATGAGGGTGGGAAGTCACTTCTTTTAGGGAGGGAGGTGTTTTTCTTGTTTAGTTTTCTTACACTCTTTTTTTCTTCCTTTTTTTTGCTTGTATTCTTTTATTGTTCTATCTAAAACTTTTAATAAAAGAGAATGATCATAAAATTGCATTTTCATAAAATTGCATGATCATAAAATTGCAATTTCATTTGTATAGTTTTAAATTTCCATTAAATTAAATCAATTTTACTCCTTGCATTTTGGGAGTGTGGTCCTGTGGAAGTCTGCTCAAGGATCAAGTGCTGCCTCCAGCCCCAACAGAGTTGTACATTCCTGGCCAAGTTCACTGTTTCCTCCACTGACCTAAGAGTACTTCTGCTTCTATAGTCCAATATTTTTCAGACCACTTTTATGATATTTTAAAAATTGTTCTAATTTTCTTATCAGTGACATTGTGGCTGTAATGTAATCCTAACACAGGGGTTGCCTTCAAGTCCTGTGCAGGATCAGCACTTGTGGGTTGTGGTTGGCTTCTGGGTTCAAGAAATTTGGATCCACGTGTTCTTGATGGAGTCACATTTCCCTTGCAGGCCTGAGTAGCCTCAGTAGCTTGGAATATTTTGTCTCAAGTTAATTTGGTTCACCATCCTTTATAGAATATGAATAACCTAGCTTCCAAGATGGTTTATTTAAATCAGATATAAATGAGGTTGCCTCTGAAGACATTTTGGATGCTTCAACTAATCCAGATTCAATTGTGAGTATTCTGGTTCACTTGTCTAAGTCTGGAGTCAGTAATCCTTTGATAGTAGACAGCCACACTTAGCATTCAGGCAAAGGGCACAGTGAGATATGCTATTTTCTTTCCCTTGTTATTTAAAACTTTAGTAAACTCTGTTTTAGAAATTATATTTCTTTTTCTGTTGTTTTCTGCTTCCATCGTAGAGCAATACTGCTCTAGAGACCACCAAGAAAAGAAAATAACCTATTCCTGATCTAAATAGTACAATATAGGAATTCTGAAGGACATTTGCTGACTATTCATGACCAAACAGTTTGTATTGTTTAGGTGGTTGACAGGAACTTGAATCATCTTTGTTATATTTAGATGTTATTCAATCATTTTTAAAATTTCTGGATACATTGCTCTAAGATTTTTTTTTTTTAGGGATAGATGTGTCACTGCAGATTTCTAACATTAATAAAAAAATCAATGTGCTTTTTTTTTAAAAAAAATCCTATCCTCACTTTGGACCAGGACTGGTGGGAAGATAAGCTGGCAAGAAATTTGGGGCTATCTTCTATTACCCCCCCTTCACCAATATGAGTGGTTGATCAGCCATTTATTTTTTTGGAGGCAAATTTTGAAGTCACACCAATAAAGCTGTCCCACAGTGAATGACCATGCAGCCTTTTTACTTTAAATCAGCAATCTAGCACATCTATGCTCGTGTGTGTGCATTTACCAAATATAAAAATTTCCTCTTGTCCTGAAATTGAAATACTATATTGCAACATACATTTTCATTGTAAACAAAAATTAGAAAGCTCATATTTCATATTCCACCTGCTATACAATGCATTCTTATCTGGTGCTCAACTGACTTATAAATAAAGGCATGCCAAGTACATAAACTATGTGTGAGCAAATGGTTGCTTCTGACCCCAAAAGGCCCCTATGCAGCATCTATCAGAAATAAGCAAGCAGGTGATTTAAAAATCTCCTATCACACCAAGGCTATGCTAGTCAACATAATCTTCACCCCAAACAGTTATATTACCAATTCCAAAAGGAATAAATGATTCTTTTTTGAGGAGGTGGCCGTTCTCATCCAAGAATCTTGCTGGGTGAAAAACATTTGGATTCTCCCATTTGTTGGGATCTCTGTGCACAGACCACAAGTTAGGAATGATTACACTGCCCTTTGGAATAGTGTATCCCTGAAGCTCTGGGGGAGGAAATCAAAAAGCTCAGATCAGAACATACAGATAACTAAAGATCAGTAAAGTACCAGTTCATAACTAAAAACCTAAAAACTGAAGCAACTGTCTTCTGTTTAGTTCTCATTTAATGAAATCAACAGACATTATAATACGGATTTGGATGAATGTTATTTTGCCTAATTAAAAAAAGTTATTATTACAAAAATACAGGTACATACTGTATACTGTATGTGTATTTGTGCAAGAGAGAAATGTAAATGCAAGGAAGACTAATTAAACCATAACATCATAAACATGAACATTGTGGTTTCTGTAAATATTAGGGCTTCTTCAAATATGCCTTCAGCTAAAGCAGGTGATCCAAATCAATTTTAAACCTCATTTGCTTCTCCTCCCTGCAAAACTTCCCAAGTTGCCACTAACTTATAATTCCTAATATGACAGAAGAACATTACTAAGTGTTTACAACAAATAAGTAGAGATGAAAATGAAAGTAAAAGTGTTTTTAAAATACCCCTTTAAAAATCAAAGTAAAAGCAAGGTACTTTAATTGTTAGATTCATATACTACCTTTCATTCAGAATCACGAGGTGCCAAACACACCCTTCAGTTTTTCCCCTGAGATGGGTTGAATCAAAGAGCAATTGGCCCAGAGTTACTAGTAAACTTCTGCACTGGAGGATGGACTTGAACTTGGGTATCCCTTGTTCAACAGGTTAACCACTATGCTACCCTGGAACTTGGAGCAACATGTAAAGTGCATGTCGCTCATTTCATTTTCCAGGTTTCTACTGAATGTGTTGATTCTCAGCCAAATGAACTTGCATCTAAAGGAAACAACAACATATCTACAACTGGCCACCCCGTCTGCCCCCCAAATACTGACCAGCAGTTTCTGAGGCCATCCGAGGAATAGAAAGAGGGACAACCACTGTCAACCTTTGGACTTCCATAATAGTTGCTTCTGTTAAGGGCATGTGTACCTTATCAGCCAGGGTAGGAGGCCTGTTGCACCCAATTACCAAATCGATTTCTTCTTGAACATTTCCTATGCAAAATAAAATATAGTAAAATGATTCTTTGGGTGTGCAGAGAACTGGTTCATCAACAGTCTAACTGACAAAGGAGGATGATGGACATGGGATATATATAGATTTTCATGATACAGGCCCAGAAGAGTGATGCAATCTGCCATTCTAGATGGGAGTCCTTTCAACTCTTGGATTTGTCTCATCTGCCATGAAAATTTATACACTGAATTTGTTTTAGATGTACTTTATTATTTTGAAAAATAATGTCTTTGTGAATTTGATTCACTGAAACTGGGATTTCATCCTATCTTCACATGTAGGAAATAGAAAGTAGGAACAAATGGGCAATTCTCTCCCTCATGCAAATATGTAAAATAGTGTCCCCAAAGGATCATTGTTGGGACCTTTGCTTATTAGCTTGTAAATAAATTATTTGGAATTAAGGTTTCAGTAGTGAAGGAGTTATGGTTGCTAATGTTATCAAAATGTTCAGGGTGGACATTCCAAAAAAGGGCTGTGAAAGACTCTCTCCAAACTGACTTCAAAATGACTTCAAACTAGCAAATGTAGTTTAATATAAACAAATATAAAATTATGTATGGTAGCACAAAAAAATCCAACTTCACCTGTACATTAATGGGAACTGAGCTGGTAGTGACTGATCAGGAAAGAAAGTTGGAATCATGGTGGAAAATTCAGTGAAATGTCAACCCAGTGTGCAGCTGCCGTTTAAAAAAGGTGAATTTATGCTTGGAATCATTAGGAAAGAAATTTGGGGGGCTGGGAAGAATTGTCAATCCCAATAATGTCCTTATATAAATCTATGATTAGATCACACTTGGGAGTATCATGTCAGCTCACCTTAAGAAAGACATTATCGATAGTCCTCAACTTGCAACCATTCATTCAGCAACTGTTCTAGGTTACCGCAGTGCTGAACAAGGGACTTAGGAGCAGTTAAGTGTTGTAGCTGTTATAGTACCCCTGCAGTCACGTGATCAAAATTCAGGCACTTGGCAGCCTGCCTGCACTTACGACTGCACAGGTGCTTCAACTCCCCCCATCTGCCTATCCCCCCACAACTATGCCCTTTTGGCCTCCTGCTGACCTGCGGTCTGCTGTCTCAGCTGACCTTCACCATTTTCTTGCTCCTGCTGCTGACGAGGCATGCCCGGCTTGGCCCTTTGCAAGGCAGCTGCTGGCCACATGAGCCTTCTTCCCCAGGTTGCACATGGTGGTTTCCTCATGAGATCTGGGGAAGATGGCCTCACATGGCCAGCAGCTGCCTTGCGAAGGGCCAGGCCAAGCGTAGGGTGACGGGGCCTCAGAGTGCAGAGTGGTGAGGACAGCAACTGAGACTGGGCTGGGGCTGGGGCTTCCTGGGCCCTGGCAAGCAGCT